ATTCAGGAGGAAGGGTGAGTATGTGGTGAGAAAGTAGAGGAGAAAAAAGTCACATTGTCTTGTCTATTTCCTGGTTTATTTGGATTTTGTGATACTTGTACTGCTCATGCATTCCTCTTGAGACCCACCGATCTTTCCTGTCTGTTCTTTCTTCATACACCCAAGTTTTCTCTTGAGACCCACCGATCTTTCCTGTCTGTTCTTTCTTCATACACCCAAGTTTTCTCTGACCCTTATAGATCCCTAATGTCTATGAAGAGTCAAGTTATGTTCTCAAATGGAACATGATGGGGTGTTTTCATGAACATGTGTGCATGTGTGCATGTGTGCATTCATGTATGTGTACTGGCAGCAGAGTTGTTACAAGTCTAGGAATCCTATTCACTTAGAAAAAATATCATCATGTGAAAATCAGGTTTGTAATATATCTGGAATGATAACAAGAGCAGGTCTCAAATCTATGCTTTTTTCATGTTTTCAGCATTAAATATTCTGTTGAGACAGTCTAGGCAATATGTTGCATAAAATTGCAATAATATCATTAAGCCGAATTATGAAGTCCTGGTCTGCATTGAAAGCTTCTTCAGGACAGACTCTGCTCATTAAATGGTTTTCCCAGCAATCAACACAGTGATAGTCATGTGGCAAGTGCTCACTAATTCTGGGCTGGATCAAAATAGTTGTCTTTCCACTACTCATATATGATATTGAGAAATGGTGCTTCTGCAGGTTGTTTTATTTATAAGCCACCCTTGGAATGATAATTCAGATATCAGTGATCTAGGACTCCCAGACCTTAGGAAATCACTGAAGTAAAATGCATGTTTTGAGTTGAGAGCTACCTATCAGTTTTAGAACTTTAGCTACCCCATTCCATCCCCCCAAAACTAGTGCTTATACTTCTGGTGAAATTCCATTAACATCTTATTAGCCAAGCCATCTTTATGGAGTGTTGCTATATAATGTAGCCTTGGGAGGATGCATGAGGAAACTGGTTATGTTGAGTCTTTGTTCGATGACAGTGTCTTGGGCTCCTAGAAGCCCCACACACCTGCTTCTGGGTGTCTGGTGGCCTCTCAGTCCTGGAAAGTCCTGTGTTTTCTCTTTTTTCCAGAATTCTCAGTAACATGGCCTGCTTTTCACATTCTCAGAGCTACCATAGCCTTCTCTGTGTCAAGAAGCAACTCACATAAGTTTTACAATACAGTTTGTATTAGGTTCAGTGAGATGGAGAAAAGGGAGAGAGAGAGACCCGAGCCTGGTGCTTTTTCAACCAAAAGCTTTATTCCACTAACATGGAGGGGAGAGCCAGATCAGTTCCCTGAAACTAAAGAAAGCAGGGGGTTGAAAGACTTTTACGGAGGGTTCAGAGTAATAGGAAATTTCAAAATCAGTGGTATGGAAGGTGACACAGTCCTTGTAGTCTGATAACATCTGTTAGGTTAACTCATAGACTCCCAATTAGCCACTATCTCAGTACAAAGCATTCCAGCCCCAAACCTGCTAGACACAATGCACAAGACATTCCCCTGATGATAACAGTAATGTTCACCCCTTTCCAGGAGAGTAATCTCAGTTCTCAGAGAAGAAAGGAAAATGGTGGCGGGAGAGGGGAGAAGCTCAATATGGCTGAGCTGAAGCTAAGCCAGCCATGAGACCCAATAGTCTGTGCATCTAATTTGATCATTCTGAATTTCTTTTCTCAAATGAATCCAGGACCTTAGGTCTTTCTGCTGCAGCTACCCTTCAGGATAAAGAGCACTAATCTGCTACCTCTCCAAACTGCCTTTCTTTCCCTTCTCCATATTGTTCTGTCAACTGAGGTTTTAAACATAAAGAAGCTTTCAGAGTAGAACAACATTTAGGTTATAATCATATTTTTATCCTCTATATGATTTCAATGTGTTTTAATATTAAGGGATTCCTAATTTTGGTGATTTCGCTCTCATGAGCACCATGCTCAGGCGAGTGTAACTTCGGAGCCTTTCCTCACACAAGATTTGTTCTGATTCTGGTCTATTTCTGTTATTAAGGCCACCTTATGAAGGGTGCAAGTATTCCACTGTTCAGTGTTGGAGACCTAGCTGCATGTTTCTGAATTTATGGTTAAATGAAACTGCAGCAGAGCAGAGCATATGCTTCTTCTTTTTTCTATCTTCTGGCAACCAGGAAAACAGAAATAATGAAGATGACTGGCATCCTTAGGCTGTGGAAATATAGATTACACTAGGATGTTACTAGTCACAAAGCCAAAACAGCTATGGTAACAGTTGGGAAGAAAAGTAGACAGAGATAAGAACAGACATAGAGGAAGAATCTGAGCATTCAATCATGCTAAAGGCAGAAAGAAAACCAGTAAATTGTGAAGGAGCTATAAAAAACAAAAACAACATATGAGGGTATTTGGAGGAAAGGAGGGAATCAACCAGGCAGAAGAATCAAGTTTCTATCTTCAGCGATGGAAGAGATGAAACGCTTAGAGCAGTGCTTCTCAGATGTTGCTTTGCACTTGAGTCACCTGGGAATCATGACCAAGTGCAAATTTTCATTCGAGGGCTTGGAGGACGGGCAGGGCTGAGGCTGCATGTCTAACAAGTCCCAGTGCTTGTATGGCGTGGCTAGTCTGTGGTGCACTACATTAGTAGTCAAGCTCAAAGAAAGGGGTAACCGTTGGAGTGGCAAAGCACAATTGGCAATGATTGTGATACACGCTGTGTTCGTAAAAACACTGACATCAAACTTCAAAAAGAAGCAAGGAACCACTTTCCTAACTGAAGAAAAAGTATGTGTTTATCATAATTGTGAAACATAAAATCAAAATCAACATTATGTTGGAAAAGTCAGCAATCACGGCAAGAAAGGAGATAAACAAGATTATTATCTATTTGCATATATTTATCGCGTTTCTTTTTGTTATCACTGTTATTGCAAATATTTTTAAGCTTACACATAATAGTTGGACTTGATGTTTTAAGGCAACTTAATGAAGAATTTTTTTCTTAATTCAAGAAAAATTTAACCATTAACCTAATATTTTTCTCTAATTAGGTAAAGCCTACCGTACCTCATCTCTAATACAACCTGCAAATGCCTACTCTTCTGCAGGCAAATAGTGCAGGTTCAAATTTATTACACCAAGTATGAAGACTATGATTGAGGCTACTGTGATATACTATCACTGAAAAATCTGGGCACTTTGGTTCAAGGTTTTCAGAAAGTTTCTCTCTAGCTGTAGACACACTATGTGGTCCAATATTAGTGACACCCCCTTTCTGCTGACTGGATTCCCAGGTCTGGAGGCATCTTACCACTGGATCTCCATCCCCTTCTTTACAGTCTATGTATTGGTGCTTCTGGGCAATGGCACACTCCTCTGCCTTATCAAGAATGATCACAGTCTCCATGAACCCATGTACTACTTCCTTGCAATGCTGGCAGGCACAGACCTCATGGTGACATTGGCCACAATGCCTACTGTAATGGGCATCCTGTGGGCTAATCACAGAGTTGTGAGCCATGGGGGCTGCTTCTTGCAGGCCTACATCATCCACTCCCTTTCCATTGTGGAATCGGGCATCCTCCTTGCAATGGCCTGTGATCGTTTCATTGCTATCTGCAATCCCTTGAGATACACTTCCATTCTCACCAACACTCGGGTGGTAAAGTTAGGGGTGGGAGTTTTTATGAGGGGTTTTATATCCATCATGCCTATAATCTTGCGTCTTTTTTTATTTCCATATTGCCACACTCATGTTCTCTCCCATGCTTTCTGCCTTCACCAAGAAGTCATGAAACTGGCCTGTGCTGATATAACTTTTAATAGACTTTACCCTGTAATTCTGGTTTCTTTCACAATTTTCCTAGACTCTCTGATCATTCTCCTCTCCTATATCCTTATTCTTAAAACTGTTATTGGCATTGCCTCTGGTGAAGAGAGAGCCAAGGCCCTCAATACCTGTATCTCCCACATTGGTTGTGTCCTCATCTTCTATGTCACAGTGATTGGTCTGTCATTCATCCACAGGTTTGGCAAGAATGTGCCAGAGGTGGTCCACATCACCATGAGCTATATCTACTTCCTCTTTCCTCCGTTAATGAATCCTATAATCTATAGCATCAAGACCAAGCAAATTCAATATGGCATTGTCCACTTTTTATCTAAACACAGATTTGGAAGTTAAAATCTGATGATCATTATGTTAAGTGAAGCGAGCCTGGCACAGAAAGACAAACACTGCATGATCTCACTCATTTGTGGAATCTAAAACAGTTGACACCATAGGATTAAACAGTAGAGGTGTTGTTGCCAGATGCTGGAGGGCTGAGGGAGGGTAATACGGGAAGAGGTTGGTCAACAGGTACAAAGTTTACAGTTAGGTTGGAAGAACAAGTTCTTGTGTTCCAATACACAGTGGGGTGACTATGGTTAGCAATAATGTAAAGTATATTTCAAAATAGCAGGAAGACAAGATATTGAAAGTTCTTACAACTAAGAAATGACTGAGGTTATATGTACACTAATTACCCTGATTTGACTATCATGCATTATGCATATGTATTGAAATGTCACACTGTACCCCATAAATATGTACAACTATGTGTCAATTAAAAATAAACTAAATTTTTAATCTTTTGGAATAGTTTGTAGAGAATTGGTGTCAATTCCTCTTTGAATGTTTTGTAGAAATCTGCTGTGACTCCATCTGTTCCTGGGCTTTTCTTTGTTGGGAGGCTTCTGATAACAGCTTCAGTATCTTTTACTGTCATTGGTCTGTTCAGATTTTCTACATCGTCTTGGCTCAGTTTTGGTAGTTTGTGTGTGTCCAGAAATTTATCCATTACCTCCAAGTTTTCAAATTTGTTCGGATATAGTTGTTTATAGTAGTCTCTAATGATTCCTTGTATTTCAGAGGTATCAGTTGTAATATCACCTTTTTCATTTCTAATTTTTGTTATTTGGATCTTCTCTCTTCTTATTTTAGTTAACCATGCTAATGGTTTGTCAATTTTATTTATCTTTTCAAAAAAACAACTTTATGATTCATTGATCTTTCATATCATTTTTTGAGTTTCAATTTCATTAAGTTCTGCTCTGATCTTAATGATTTCTTTCCATCTGCTAACATTTTAACCAGAAATTGAAAAAAAAAAAAAAACTATCCAGACATATATATGGAAAAACAAAAGACCACGCATAGCCAAAGCAATGCTGAGCAAAAAAATAAAGCTGGAGGCATAACACTAACTGTTTTAAACTACACTACAAAGCTATAATAAATAAAACAGCATGGTACTGGCATAAAAACAGACACACTGATCAATGGAATAGAATAGAGAATCCAGAAATCAACCCACACAACTACAGCCAACTGATCTTTGACAAAGGAACCAAGAGTATACACTGGGGAAGAGACTGCCTCTTCAGCAAATGGTTCTGGGATAACTGTATATCCATATTCAGGAGAATGAAACTAGAACCATACTTCTCACCATATACTAAAATCAACTCAAAATGGATTAAATAATTAAATATACACCCAGGATATCCATATGCAGGAGAATGAAACTAGATCCATACCTCTCACCATATACTAAAATCAACTCAAAATGGATTAAGGATTTAAATATACACTCTGAAACAATAAAAATTCTTAAAGAAAACATAGGAGAAACACTTCAGGAAGTAGGACTGGACACAGACTACAAGAATACAAACCCAAAATCATGAGCAACCAAAGGAAAAATAAACAAATGGGATTATATCAAACTAAAAAGCTTCTGCACAGCAAAAGAAACAATTAACAGAGCTAAAAGACAACCAACAGAGTGGGAGAAAATATTTGCAAAATATACATCTGTCAAAGGATTAATATCCAGAATATATAAGAAACTCAAACAACTTTACAGCAAAAAAAAACGAATAACCAAATTAAAAAATGGGCAAAGGAACTAAATAGGCATTTCTCAAAGAAAGATATATGAGTGGCCAACAGAGAGATGAAAAATGCTCAATCTCACTCAGCATCTGGGAAATGTAAATCAAGACCACTTTGAGATACCATCTCACTCCAATTAGGATGGCTAACTTCCAAAAGACTGAGAATGATAAGTGTTGGAGAGGTTGCGGGGAACAAGGAACTCTCATACATTGTTGGTGGGACTGCAAAATGGTGCAGCCTTTATGGAAAATGGTATGGAGGTTCCTCAAACAATTACAGATAGATCTACCATATGACCCAACTATTCCACTCCTGGGAATATAACCAGAGGAATGGAAATCATCATGCCGAAGGGATACCTGTACTCCAATGTTTATTGCAGCTCTATTTACAATAGCCAAGAGTTGGAACCAGCCCAAATGTCCATCGTCTGATGACTGGATAAGGGAACTGTGGTATATCTACAGAATGGAACACTACTCTGCTATAAAAAAAGAATGGAATACTGCCATTTGCAGCAACATGGATGGATGTAGAGAGAATTATATTAAGTGAAACAAGCCAGGCACGGAAAGAGAAATATCACATGTTCTCATTTATTTGTGGGAGCTAAAAATAAATAAATAAATAC